CCATCATCGAACCAAAAGACGCCCTTATAAAACACACATGCAGCTCCAAGTCTTAGATGCCGGACGGGAACATTTCGTACACAAAACAGCGAGGAACAATCCAAGTCACAAATGTGTGCGTTGTGCTGGAGAAGGCAAACATAGATGTCTCACTTACAAGCTCTACTAGGACGAAAACCGGCTGCAAAGGACAGTAGCAGAGCCCTGATATGAAGCTCTTTCTGAACAGACACAGCAAGGGAACAAGGAAAAACACAGATCCGCGGTTCGTACAAAACATTACATAAAGATGGATCGCCAAACCGTCTATACAACGACAAAAATCTGACCAGACAATGTATGGGGAGACTAACTAACTGCAACATTGGTTTTATACGAAGACGGACAGGAAAAAAACGCAAATCTTCCATTCCCCCGCGGAGATTATCATGGCGCATGGATCGTCAAACCGTTATATATATATATATATACCGTAACAAACCCAAGACCGAGGCAAACTGACTATGCTGCTACGATAATCGAACCAAATGATGCATGAGGAAACTTGCTACATTGGTTTTTATAGAGATGGCAAGAGGTATAGAAAAAACACATATCTGCCATTCCCCGCGGAGATAACCCATAGCGGATGGGATTGCCAAACCGTATATTACAGCGACAGAAGGAAGGTTGGCAGGGTCTAAGGAGATTGGCTACATGGCTTTCGATACAGAAGACACACCGAGCGAACACACTTCGATTGTCGTGTGTGTGTGTGTGTGCGTGGGCTAGTCGCAGAAAAACGGATACACAGATGGAATCGCAAACTAAAACATACATACCGCTACAACAAACTAACCTAAACGATGTACGGGATACGGTCGCGCTGTTTGGGTATATGTATGCTTCCGGATCACATGCCCGTATATTGAGAGATGGGAGTTTTTTGGTCGGGGTCTTGGACGATGTTTGGAAGGCATGGGGTATATTAAAAGAGAGAGATGGGGTATCTGCACTTACTATAGATGCTCGTGGAGACAGGGGATATACTAGGATATAATGCTGTGTTGGGAGGAGGGTGTGCATTGGTGATTCTGGATATATGAGGTGAGATGGTGTGTTTTTCTAGAGTGTGCTTGGGCGAACAAGAGCATTAGTTGGGACTTGTGCGTTTTGACTTTATTGTTCCGTCTTCTCTATCTGCCGCGTAGATTATATGAGAATGAAGTCATTATGCGGCATCTCTTTGGCATTAGTTATTGTTGCCGTACCAACAAAGCCACCATATCACACTATTCTTTATCAAGTGATTGGGCAAACTCCTTTTCGTGCTCCGGCAGTCCACCTACATATTCACCCAAAAGGGTCTTCAAATCTTCCTCAAAAGGTTCTCCCTGGTCGGCTGCCATTTGCCTCCGTAACGCGTGTGCCTCGGACATGGCGTGAAAAGTGTCAGTGATTTTCTTCTTATCTGTGCATACATCATGTTAGTTGGCAACCTCGCTCCTTTTTCTGACATGATTTGTCAGTGGAGTGATGCTGCGTTTTTCGTATCAAACCATCTACTAGGGACATATCACTAACTAATGTTTGGTTCATCTTGTACTGGTATCTCCTGGTCAGGGTTCATTGGCGGCACGCCTTTTTCCCAACGGCTGAAGACATTGACTGTGCCACAATCGCCTACAGCGACACACCACTGGCCGTCACGGCTCCATGAAAAATGGCGAAAGGCGAAAGCTTTGTACTTTGGTGTCTCTACAATCTTGTGGGCTTTGATGGAGCGGAAAGGATCGGATATACCTCTGTCACGAACAACCTCCTTTGCTTTCTTTTGCTTCATTTTAGTATTTCCGGAACCGGCGCTAATGGCGGAGGAGGCGGTCGAGGCCGAGCTACCTTCTCGAACATGTCGGGGCAGACCAAGCGGCACTTCTTTTCCAACATAGAGCTTATCGTCTCCTGTGTTTGATTCTCCCGTACCAGAGTCCTCAAGGCGTTGAAGGTCCCAGAAAAATGTCTTACTCTTTTCATTGCCCGCAACCAGGATCGGATGATGGCCGAGTTCGTGGAAAAGGGAGAAGCGAATGTAGAACTGATTGGTGTGTGGTAAATCAAACTGGAGCAGACGCTGGAAGCGACCACCCCACGCTGACCGTGTGTTTGATGTCAGATTGGCTGATATCGTGACTGGTGTGCGACTGTTGACTGCGCTTGATGTCGGAATAGGCGCAGGAGGCGTAACGGTACGGTCTGAGCTGAAGTGGTCGATACTCCAGAGGATGATCTTGCCTTCTCGACATGCATGACTAAAAATCAGATCATTGTACCATTGTATACTAGGAAAAGTCAGTGCATGTAACCCGGTAACCCGGAATCAGGATACTTTATGTACCAGTCTATAAAATCGGTATGGATTTCAGTGGTGGAAAAATGCGGGTAATGCACCATTACCGGCTTATCGGTTCCGGTATGCTCTTTGAGATCATCCGGGACAGCCCACTGCACGTATTGTTAGAAGAAAGCTTTTTAGCACATCTTTTTGCAAAGTACCTACTAGATTGATCTTGGTATCCATACCCGCAGTAAGAATGTATTTTCCTTTGGGGTGATATGACTGCCAATGTCAGTTGATTTCATTGGCCACACTGGCAAGTTACACACTAGGGTCAAGATTTGATCTTTGTGACCTTGGCCGTAGCATACGGCCCCAAGCGGTTGCTTCTCATGTGAAGGGTGCAGGCTCCACAACCGGAGGCTGTGGTCAATGCTGACTGATGCAATGATGGTGGGATCGACCGGGGATATGGCAAGGTCGTTGACGGACTGCTTGGCGTCAGATGTGTATATGACTTGCAGCAGATATGCTTACATCGCCATGGCCTATCAGTGTCTGTAACATACGTCAGCGGGTGGTGTAGGATAGGTGCCGCAGAACATGCCGCCGAAAGTTCGCCAGTTCGAACATTGAGAACCTTGATACGGGAGTCGCAAGCTACGCACACGAGTGGGTCTCCATTGGTAGCCTGAGACCATACGACGCTGTTGTACCTGATTTGCTGAAGAGGAAGGGCTGCATTAGTAAGAGCAAGCCATGGGCGCCGCAACCAACCTTGGGATTCGCTGAACCATTTTCTGCAGTGCTTTCCTCATCTTCAAACCAGCGCAAGATTTCGATTGTCCCATTCTTGTCGAGAACGCATCGACAGATAATAGTCTAGATTAATAAGCGCTGGGCGTGCAGGACCAGGCACAATGTGAGACGTACAAACGGGCCGCCACAGACAGCGAAAACGGGATCCAGGCCGGGTGCAGTGTAAGGATAGAAGTCGACGTCGTAGAATTGAGCTAGTACAAAAGTGGTCAGCGATGCATGTAGCGAGGCCTGATTTGACCTTACTGGTGCTAAGCTTAGACTTTGTTTGGCCCTGGGAGAGAGTTAGTAGTCGCTAATGCCTAGCTGAGTTGGGTGGGTTACGCCTAGTCGAATGGTGCCCCTCAGAGTAGGCAATTCCCAACTGGCTTCCATCTTGGCATGCGTCTGGTCAAAAAAAATGCTCAGGGCTCGGGGGTGATGTGCGAAGCAGGGCTCGGGTGGGCGGGTCGCAGGGGGTCTCGCCCTGCACCGGCTTGATAAGAATCGGTCCTTGAAGGCAGAAATGAGGCGGATGGGGTGGGAGCCGGGGATGTGGGAAGTTTTTTCTTTCCTCTGGGGTCTTGCCGAAGCGGGCGGGTGAGTATGGGTGGCTTTCGTGTGGCGTGTGGCGTGGGCAGGACGATCGCCGATGACGAAATACAGTTGAGCAGTCGAAACAACGAGGTAACCAGGTGGTGGTACCATTGACTGCGCACAAAGGCGGATAGGCTAAGGGGCGGGCTCTGATGGGGAGCCCATGTATGTACTCCCTGTACGTGCGTACGAGTGGATGCAGGCGTGACGGCGCGGTGCTGGGCAGAGACCGGAGAGATGACGGCGAGGCGCTGGGGGCGGAGGCTGCTAGCGGACGGGCTGCAGCGCCCATGTGGTGATGGACAGGGCTCCTTGGCTACATACGTCCTCCTGCTAGTACTATGTACACCACACCTACAGTAGCCACCTCACTGACTGCATTCCCCTCTGCTGCCGCTAAGCCCCAAGGCCATTTTGAGGAATACTCATCCCCCACCTAGAACATGTCCCCGCTGTCACAGATGCCCCTTGCCATGGCCTGAACACTCTCAAACACCGGCCTGATCTTGACAGGTGACACTCTTGCTCTGTGCTGCTGCTTGACCCCCGCTACACTACACTACTCACAGTGGTACACTACGCTAGCCGATGCCTCATCCCCCAAGCCTCGCCTCGCTCCCGGAGCGCCACCTCCACCTACCGAGCCCGTCTTGATCAGCCCTCGCAGCGCTTGGTTCCTTTTGCCCTTCTTTTTTTTCTGGCCCTGTGCCTACCACTGACCTACATGATTGTCCACACTACGTACTACTATAATCGACGGCAATCTTCGAATCTGACCTCGTATCGCCCTGTCCCCACCACCCACTACTCCTACATACTATCTTCTTCTTCTCCTCATCACGCCTTCGCCCTGCTCACCTCCCTGTCCTGGTCCCGGCACAGCTGCAGCCGTTCGCTCTGTTCACTTGCATTGTTTAGGCGTCGTTCCCACCATCCGGAACTCCTCCCTGTGACCCCAACCTTACAAGCGAGCCAGGCCCAACGTCAACCAACCGTCTTTTCCCGGCCTCACAGGGGTGCGGCGCGCGCCACTTTCGGTCCTCTCGTCGCTTTCTGCTCACTTCCACACGCTGCATTCTGCATATGCTCCTGAGCTTTAGCTTGTTGCGGCGCGCCCTATCCTTGGACTGCCTCATATATCCTTACTGCGTTGCTTCATTCCTGCGGCGACGAGGGTGAGGGGCTGTGGATACGCTGTGGTCTCGCATTACATCATTGCAACTGACTCGCATCCTACCCGACCTCTTGTCCCATTCACTCCCACAGCGCGCTCGTCTCGTGTCGCACCCGTTTCACTGCGTTGCGTTCCCTCGTCCCATCTGGACCCTGACTACTATTTGATCAGCCCGCGCTCCCTCGCCACCGCCTGGTCGTCCGGCAACGTCCCCTCTCCTAGAGCGAATTATTAGATTCCGTCTCTTTGGGGCCAGAGTGGTCCAACCACGGTCCAAACACACCTGCTACTTCACCCCTTTGTTGCCTGCCGCAATGGACACCACCTTCATCACCATCCATGGTATGTCCCTTCCATCTCGTCTCTCCAGAACCCACACTCAGCCTCGACAGACCTCTCCGACGATGCCCACATCCTGTACTCGTCTGATTCCATTGTCGACATCCTCGGCCACACTCCCGACGAGGTCGTCAACAGGTCCGTATGGCAATTTTTTCATCCAGACGAACTTCCCCTCGCCAAAGCACAGCACAGCCGCGGCGTGAGGCTCGACAAGGCTGCCGTCCTGTCTTACTGCCGCCTGAAGAACCGCCAGGGCGAGTGGGTCGGCTGTGAATGCTGCTTCTCCGTCGTCTACGATGTGCTCGTATGCTGCACCAGCGTCTACCGACAGGGCATGCAGAGTCAGAGTAAGCTTCTAACTCCATCTGTCCCTCCATGCATACTGACCCGCACCAATCAGAGCGTGCAGTTGAGGCGCCCATAGTCCGCAAGTTATTCGCTTCTTCCCCAAAAGACCCTCGCTATCATATGCTGTCTCACTTATCAACCAAGTTTGACCTTGGCCACGAGGATCAGACCCATGAGCCCCGAGCTGCCCTATTTCTCAATAGATTCACCCGCACCTTGACTGTCATGTACGCGACAAGCGGCATAGAGCAGATCATTGGCATTTCGAGCGAAGCTATGAAGGGGCGCAGTTTCTACTACTGCATAGCCCCAAACTGTCTCGAGGATGCCGTCCGCTGTCTCGAGTCGGCCAAAGGTAACGACTCGATTGCGTACATGCGCTTCTTCTTCCGAGACCCCCGTCAGGACGACTCACCAGAGGCTAGCTCATCCGAGAGTGAGGACGATATCATGACCGATGTGACTAGCTCAGACGAAGAGTCTGAGGGTGGTGTGGGGCTTGGCACATCAGGTGATGCTAGTTCTAGACAGCCCTCCGTTGCAAACAACAGCACCAACGAGAGCGCAGAGCCGTCAGCCTCGCGCTCAAACTCAAGGGAAGATCCAAGCTATCGCTCAGCTGCCTCAGCCACTCACCAAGCAATGTTTGGCGGCTCTGCGCTCCGCTCTTCCATCTCGTCTGCGAGCTCGCCTCGTTCTGAGCCCCGTGATGAACCCATCGAACTCGAAGCTGTTATATCGTGCACCTCGGACGGGCTTGTCGTGTGTCTGCGTCGTGCGCGCCCAATGTTGCCAGGCGCTATGCCTGTTGCACAGCCAGCCCACCAGTACAATGGTATCTTTGCGGCTCCCTGGGCAACACAACCTGTGTTCCATCCTGCACCGCCGCAGATGCCTCACTACCCTCTAGGTGCGCGACACCCGGCCATGGCACATGCGGGATCCTCGATGGACTTTCAAAATAGCTTCATGAAGAGCATCCGTGACGTTGCCGTCTTTGCTTGGGCACTTACTGGAATCAACGGCAGCCTCGTCGACTATGCTCGTGGTAAACCAGTAGGCGAGAGTCAGCCTCCAGATGGCTTTCCTATCTGGAATCCATTGCCAGATCCAAACGGCTTCGGCGGGAAGCAATTGTCTGTGGCCCCGTCAGGTTACGGGTCTGGGTCCAATAGCTCCGCTAGCAATGACCCATTTGGGTTTGGGGACCCTGGTCGTTGAGATCTTTGATCGCCGCACATGCACTTGAGTCGATCCAAGCGCATGTCACAGTAATACGGGGTGCTTTGTCATCGTGGACATTACCGGCTTCAGTCTTTTTATCCGACTGAAAAGAGAGACCAGACCATCATGTCAACAGGAGTCACGGTCATGGCGTCTTGCTGGTACGTTATGAATCCACCCGAGCAATTGCACGGAATATACCAGGTCGCATAGCACTATGTTACTAGATATGGTATGCTTTGTCGGACCACTCCTCTCATTTTCTATTTTGTTGTATAGTATATCAATAATCAAAAGCACTTGAGATTTCAAACTCTGTACCGATTACTCGCATGTACACACGTTGTCGTGTCGTGCATAATCACTACATGGACATCGAATGCATCCTATCCACGTGAGGATCCTAGCAATTTACGTAGAAGATGTTGCGTTCGAACATTTGTACCAATTGGCTGGCCCTGTCCCTGTGTCCCTGTCAATCCTGGTTTTGAAATGCGGCGGGGTTGAGGCTAAAATCTAACCCCCGTCCCTTTTCAAACATGTCCAGGTATTCGAGTGATGATGCTTGCAGATGTTCCCCTAGCGGACGCGCAATACCGAGGCTCTTTGTATCACCGTCTTTGTTAGCCCCGTAGCGCGCGCTTGAGGCCACCGAGTCTTTCCAATTCGGGCCATTCTCTTTGTTGTAGTTGTGCCGAAAACTGGATAGCGCGAATACATGGTACATGGAGGCTCATCTCGAACGCCCCAGCCGTGGCTACCCATGGGCATTCTTTGACATGCTGAGCTGCGTGCTTCGTATATGCGTCCTTGTTTACATTACCACTGCCATGGTAAGGTAGTGGACCATAGCACTGACTATGCCCCTTCATCTTGGGGTTTTTCTTTCTCGGAATCGAAGTCTTACTTTGATCTCACTACACTATTGAAGACAGACGTGCAGGCCACTCATTTCAAAAGATTTTACAATTACAATAATACTTGTGAAAATGCGTGGGTCACGGTGCTGGGCGGTTGCATTTCTTCAATTTCTTCTTGTTTCTATCCAACTCCCTACAACATGCTTGGCACACGACAGTGTTCAGCCCAACGTTCAAGTCGTGACAGCATCAGCGATAACACCAGGCCAACCAAGCTCGACGATTACAGCACCAGCACAGACACACACGATTCAAGTTGGTCTAGCAGATCACAAGTTCAGACCCGAGGCAACAGTGGCCAATGTCGGTGATGTAAGCCGGCCTACTACTCTCGATACCGACTTCTATCCTAACTGTTTACGTAGACTGTGGAATTTGCCTTTTACCCGCTCAACCACAGCGTTGTTCGCGCCGAATACGGTTTCCCATGTATACCCTACGAGATGACAGGAGCGTCTAAAATAGGGTTCTTTTCTGACTTCCATCCCGTCGACACGGTCTTGTCCTCACCACCCACATACCGTATCGTCATTAATGATACAGACCCCATCTTCTTCTACTGCTCCGCCCCCGGCAGTTGTATAAACTATGGTATGGTGGGCGTCATTAATCCCAATGCCTCGGCGAGTGTACAGAAGCAGCAACAGCTGGCACTGGACAGCAAATACATGCTCAACCCAGGCGAACCTTTTCCAACTGAAGAAACACCCTCGCCGAGCAACCCGCCGACCAGCACTCCAACATCCAGTCCAGTTACAGAAGATACAAGCAACACTAAGAGTCGCCTCTCCACCGGCGCCATAATCGCCATGTCCATCACCAGCGCCAGCATTACCATCCTCGCCGCCCTCCTCTTCTTCTTCTGGGGCCGCACCAAATCCCTAAAAGACGAGATAAAACGCAAAGGCCGTCCATCCCACAGCCCATCCGCGTCTCCAAGCGGCGAAACACGCATGTTGGAATCTCGAGCCGAACTCGGGAGTAGCAGTTCAGGACCCGACACTAACAACGCCCTGCATCACCAACAATACTACATGCAACACCATCCCCACCACCACCACCACCCAGCCTCATCCCCAGACACCACAACCCCATACCACCAACAATACCAATCCTACCCCGCCTCCCTCTCCCAAATTCCCCTATACTTCCCCCCTCCACACGCCCCAACGTCCTCTCCCTCCCCCGTTCCCACCCCACCACCACCACCACCACCACACTCGCACTCTCCACACCCACACATGCACCCGGCCTTCCTCGCACCTCCAGAACCGCAGCCCATACCCGGAAAATACGAAATACCAAGCCCTATAGGCCAACATCCTGCGTATCTGCCTGTAGAGTATTATGCTCAACAGCAGCAGGTGCAAGTAACGCAGGTGCAGCGGCAGGTACGACATGAGTTGAGTCCGACTGGGGATGCGGAGATGCTCCGAGGACGAGGTGTTGAAGGAGGTGATGGTGCAGATGCGATTACGCCGGTGAAACAGGAGGGAGAAAGGGGACAGAAGAGTGAATTGGGGGGTTCGAGTCCGAGGGTTGTTGGTGCAGAGGGAGAGGGAGAGAGGGAGAAGGTGCCTGGATATTTTGATTCCGTGTTTGATAAACGGGGGTTGGTGGGGAGGAGGACGGGGGAGAGTGGGAAATAATTGAATCGAGGAAAATTTGGGGGGGGGGGGGTTTCTTTTGTAAACATGGTTTGGGTGTGATGCGTAGGGGTGGGTTGTAGATTTGGATATGTGGATATGGATGTGGATGTAATACCCAATTTTCTCTTCTTTTTTTTCTTCTTCTTCTATTCCAGTAATTTTTATTCGGCGTTTTATTTTATTTTCCCTTGCAAAAGGCACGGGTTAGAAAAGGCGAGCAATTTCCTAGATGATAATGACGAATGAGGTGTTGCGGCCGGGGGGGGGGGAATGGTGCATTACTACTAGATATCTTCATCCAAATGTCTGCATGTCTGACTTGTTTCACTCCTTGTCGGAGTGGCTTGATATATTTGTATGTATCTTGTAAACCATATAGAGGATCAAACATCTTCATTTCAAAGGAAGCTTTAAACCCCATCAAGACAGCCGAGAGAAAGTATTCAAGGGGCAACAAGACAAGACTGCTAGTCCTTGTCAACAAATGCTATTTCGCTCTGATCTAGCAATCATCTGCTTACAACACCGCCCAACAACCTCATTTGCACGTTGCAACAATGGAATAAATACTCGAGCTCGCTCTCGCTTCGCGGCGAAGAAAAAGTTGTCCTGCCTTTTGTTCTTTTTTGTAGTATATAAGTCCTTTCCTGTTCCCTCTCCACACATCATATTGAACCAAACCTCTCCACACCCCCGTCGCCCTTCAATGACATCAAATCAATGAGTTCAACAACAACAAAAAAAGAATAAGACCCCGAGACCGAACACTTCAAGTCGTCTGGATAAAGAACAGAGAAAATAAGAAAAAAAAAGGGTGGGAAGAAAAATCATTCGACTTATAATCATTACATATTTTTACACTCCGAAAAAAAGGAGAAGGAGAAACCACGCGAGTCGCCCGGCGGCCCGTAAAAACTGGTTGCAAAACAAGAGCGGGGGTATCGTGAATCATGTCGCTCATATCGAAGTAGAAGTAGCCGCAATAGTGGGTGCAACGGATACCTCGGTAGGCTTCGGCTCCTCTGCTACAGGCGCCAGGACAGGTTCCACGGCCTTGGGCGGTGGAGAGTTTGTATTTGGAAGACTGGCTGCCGATAGCGTTGGAGAGCTTGTGGATTGCGATGTAGTCAGTGGCGGCGTGGCATTTGAACCCGTCGACTGTGTCTGAGCCAACTTGGTCTTGCGGTTGCGATTGGTGTAATCACTTAGACTGAGCTTTTTGCGTGCCGGCGTTGCCTTGACAGCACTGTTGACAGCAGGGGAGAAGGGCGACGCAATCGTTGATGCGGCTGGAGAGGGCGCAGCGGCATTTTCCGTCACGGGCGCGGAGCTCGATGCAGAAGTGATGGGAGTATTGTTAACTGCGCTGGCCGAATCTTGCTTTACAGGAGTTTCGACTTCCATATCAGCAGATTGAGGTGGGAATTCTGCTGTGGACTTTGGTGATGGTTCGGTCGGTAGTGAGGCCGACCACGGCGGGGCAGATGGTTGGTTAGGTGGACAAGAGGTTTCGCGCGGAGTCTGGGGTCTAGGCGCATCAGGCAGCTCCTCAGTCTTTGGTTCTGGAGGCTTGGGAGCAGCGACTTCAGCATCCATCATCTCAACATCTACAGTAGGCTCGGGCGAGGGCTCCTTGGCGGGAGTGAGTTCCTTGTGCTGCCTCGTGTCAGGTACAGGCTCAGTTGATGTATCCATTGCAGAAGGCTCTTCGAGAGGTGGCGATGGTGGCAGTGGAGAGGGCTTGTTTGAAGACACGTCTTTCAGAGCTGGGGATCGGACTTCCATCTTCACAGATGTCGACCGCATTCGTTCGCGTTGCAGCTTATCCTCTTGAGCTTGCTGTAAAAGCTTACGCTTGAATGACATTGGAGGCTTCAGCTGGCGCGGCTTGATGCAAGCCTGTGGCTTTGCATCGTCATCCTGTGCCGTCTGCGTTGATGCATCCACATAGACGGGCTTCGGTCTGGCCGGTGCACGCCCGTTTGTCTTTATAGAGCTACCTGAAGTCTTGCGGGCCACACCGTGGCTGTGTTCCCGATGACGAGCTGACGGCGAAGGTTCGGGGTGTCCGGAGCGTCTCTGTTTCTTGGAATTAGAAAGACCCAGTAGAGAATGTGGGGGAGACTTCTTACAGAAGATGGGAGGTTCGGTGTGTTGAGGTTGGATCCAGCGCTGGTGCGTTTCCTCTTTCCCTTATGCTCGTCGTGATCGAGCTTCTGGAACAAGAGCTCCTGGTGCTGGATCTTCCTCTTCTCACGCTCCGATAGTTTGAGATCACCGTCCAGGGAAACATGGGTTGCTGGTGTAATGTCGCGACTGCTTGATTTGTGGGAGCCAGACGTAGAGCGGGCGTCCATTTGGTCGTCGTCAACAATGTCGCGATTGGCCAATTCGCTGCCTGCACGGCTGTTGGTTGCATGGCCGGTACTTGTAGGGGATGTTTGAAATTTCTTCATCTTCTTGCCTTTGGTCTTTGCTGACTCTGTGATGGGATTGTTGCGACGGGCTCGCTCCAAAAGGCACTCGTTGCCGTTGGAAATGTCACAAGCACAACCGCCAAAGTTTGCGAGGACACAAGACACCCAAGGCTGGATCTTTCTGAAGCCCTCCTTGGCGCCGTTGGTGACGACCTTGGCCAGTTGCTTTTGTACCTCTGAGTCAATGTCCCAGCCAACAGTGAGCTCTTCTCCAGGGCTGATCTCCCGTGTTGCCAGGAAGCTAAAGTGGTAGTCGTTGCTTGAGTCAATCAAAATCTTCATGGACATGTTGGGGTTACAGCTCCTTCTGGCGTATCGTAGTATGTTGCCTTCGCGCCGCGTGTCAATGTAGATGGGTAGGTGGGGAGGGAAAAAGACAAATGGTTCGGGATGTCGCAGGAGATCCCATCGATTTGACGGATCTGAATAGTAGTCGGTTTTGCGGCCGATGAGACCCTTGAGTTCGCCTACGTAACCTCCGTCGGGGACTGGTGTCTCGGCTGTAATAAAGTGCCATTGAGGATGAAGGCCATGCGCTAGTATAGCCGAGTCGACATCTGTCTGTTTCACGATTTCTGGCGCAGTTTTGGTTTCGAGATCCTGTATGGTGCTGTCAATGCGTGAAAAAATGTCCTGTGGCTTCTTGCCTCCGCTTGCCTCTGCGAGCGCTTCTGGGTCTTGAAGCCACATGGCGATGTCGTTGGCAACATCGATGCGCGTATACGAGTTGGACTCTGCAGAAGGCGGCTCAGGCTGGCGGTAGAGATGCATAAACTCGTACGAGTAATCCTCGACGGGACCATCGGGATTCGACGGTGACTTGACGGGGCTGTGGCCGTTGAGCAGGATAGACGCGCCTCGCTTGCGTGATGTGGGCGCAAGAGCTGGCGCTTGGCTAACAACGCTCATAGACACAGAAGAGCGATGGTTGGTCTTGGGCCGCTTGTTTGGTGGAGGCTGATCTCGTGGGCTTCCGCTCTTGCGGTCAGGGGGGTAGTGTAGGTCGCCGTTGGTTTGCGTGGGCCAGGCATTGGCCTGCATTGGCACCAGTGAGTCCTTTGGGCGCTTCTTGGGGTTCTTTGCAGACGCCTTTGGCCGGCCTTTGCGCTCGCCAATGTTGTGCATCTCTCTCCGGATGCGTTGCTTCTCCGAGGCGCTCTTTGCATCGACCAGGCGCGGCAGGCAGTCTGCGCATTCGTGCACGTCGGGAACATGCTGTGCAGACTCGTAGTAGCACACAATGTGCTGCCACGTGTCGCACTTCTCGCACAGCACCGTATTGCCATCGTCATCGGCGTAGCCGCAGATGCACTTGATTGTGGACGATTCTTCCTCTTCAACGAGGCCGTCTAGGGGTGGGGAAGCTTGGGCAAAGGCGGGTGGTGGAGGGCCAGCGTAGAGGGCGAGGGGAGCCGGCTGAGGGTCAGCATACGCCTGGACCGCCGAGACGTCTGTCATAATCTGGCAGGCAGGGTCGGTACTGAGGAGTGGTGTTTGTGTAGTGGGTGCTCAAGATGTGTGTTGTGGGGATCGCATGACGCCCAGGACGCGGATAGGGAGAGCAGAGCTACCAACGGCAACTCGAGACGGAACGAGTGAGCCGTGCCAACTAGACAGCTGGAGGTAGAAGGATTCCAGGCGCTTATGGAGCGGATGCAGCCAAGGGAATGAGGGTTGCGTGTCCAGTTGCAGCGCGAGCGAGCAAGCTAGAGGGCGACAACACGGGCTCGGAAACGTCAGTGGGAAGGCGATGTCTCGCGGATATCATGAAGAGAGGCTATTGAGACGTTTTGCGAGACGTGATGGGGTGCGCCGGTGGCCAGGCAGGGTGGTGAGGATGCGAGGCTCGAGGCGGCGTCGGAGGGAGCAGTCGGCTGGGAGGGGGGGAGAGGAGACAGCGGCACTAGAGGAGAGGGCGCGCGCACTCGTGGCCGTCGAGGCGGATGGCGACAACGGCTGCGACGTTAGCAGAGCAGATGGAGGGCAGGCTGGTGAGGACAACGGGGGCGTGGTGCGGTATGGGAGTCAGAATGGCAGTGGAGAATCGAGCGTGCGAATGTCGTGAGAGAATGAATGGCCCCGACGCTGGCGAGCGAGACGGGCCTAGCGCGTGTGGTCTGTGCGCGGTGCCCAAGGACAAGGCCAGAAGGGAGGGCTAGAGGGCATTAGTCACCGAGGGGTTGCAGGAAGCGCGGTCTCAAGATATCAGCATGTGGCTGGCGTGGCCCCCGAGCCACAACGCGGGCAGAGTGGAGGCGAGGGCCATGGCGGGTCTGGGGGGGACGTTGCATCGACATGGAAGACGGGACATGCACGCATCAAGAGAGAGGGTGGATGATACGGCTGATATGGGACGAGCAGGAAATGCGGTAGGCCTGGGAGGTCGACGTTTGGGCGTGGATGTGACGAGAAGAAACGGCAGCAGCGGATTCCGTGGAGCAGGCAGCACAGGGTGGGCTGGCCAATCAGGGCGCTCGCCATGGATAGGTGGCCGGGGTCTGTTTGCTTTGGCGCGCAGATCGAGTTCGCCTGCAGTCCGAGCGTTGGCTGGCTGCTGTGACGGAGCCCTCCCTGTGCCTTTCCCTCTCTCTCCCCCGTCTCTCTTGCTCTCTTTCTCTCTCTTTCTCTCTTTCTCTCCCCGCGCCGCCCTGTGGCCTGCGCGCCAAACCACCAGCTGGATACAGCTGTGCGCGTGCATGCATGCATGTATGCATGCGCGGATGCATTGTGTCCATGTATGAATTTGCGCGATGCCGCTGTTCACCCGCGCAGGCAGCGAATCGTAAACAGGGACAGGGAGCGGCGCTGCTGAAACACTGCGCCGCCACCCAAACGTCATTGCCAACGGCCTGCAGCAGCTGGGCCACCTGCCATCCATACCGTAGTAGTTAGCATATGTACTGATACTACTTATATCACACGCCCGCCCAGGACCATCGCTTGCTTTGTTTTGCGCTCACGGGCCCTGCAACCCAAGCCCCCCGAACAACGACTGCCTGGTCATCGTCGTCGTAGCATGCCCGCCCGCCCGCCCGCTCGCTCTGCCCGCTCTGCCCTCTCTCGCCTTGCGTCCACAATGACCCTGACGGAGTTTGTCGGTCGGTCGGCCCTGCCGGTCGCGCCTGCCCGTTTCCCTGCCACCGCCTTCCAATGAGCTCCCTCTCTTTCCCCGCTTTCTACAACTATACCATATCTCGACTCGACTACTTCTTCCACGACTAATTAATTCTCCTTCAACCGTGCCGCCCGACAGAGGACACTGGCCATCGCAGACTCAAGATGTCAGGCCATGGGCTAAGATATAAAATGCTACGTGATAGACCTGTCAATGTCAATAGGCTCGCCTTCCGTCTTCATCATGGCTGCGCTTTTGGGCCTCTTCTCGGCTTTCTATCTGCTCTTCTCTGCTCGCGCATCTGGCGTACTCCGCCCTCAGTCAATTGCATCTGATTTGTCCATCGTCACTCACAATGACCTCTATGGCCAGGCTTCCAGTAGACGGGCCGCAAGCATCCTGCTGAGCACCCCTTACACCTATTCTACCGCCCGTTCCCAATGCGCTGCTCTCGACACCACCCTCTGGAACCCCCGTAGTCATGCCCAAAACTCGGCCTATCTCGAATACCTCAGTTATGCAAAACTTGCCGGTCGTGACTATCTCTTCTGGGTCGACGGCAACTCAACCTCACAGTGCACAGCAATATCCACTCATGGCCAGTTGGAGCCCTACCCGTGTGACAAGCACTTGCCTATTTTGTGCTCAACCACTGCTGCTTCCACTTCCCTACCCCGTATCGCCGTCACAACTAACAATGCTACCATAATAGGCCATCGGGATGACTCCTCCCCGTCCTTTCGTTTCTTTGGCATCAAGTATGGCGCCCTTCCAGCCCGCTTTACCCACTCGACATACTTGCCCCCTACGCCTGCTTCAAATACGACGGCACTCGATTATGCCCCCATACGTATGCAGGTCTCGTCTGCCTCTCCAGACCCAAACGTCTACGCCGAAGACTGCCTCTTCCTCAACACTGGCACGAGACAAGTTTGCTCGCTCAATTATGATGAGCAATCTTCAGGGCATGAGCTACTCGGCACCCTTTTCAAACTACTTGACTATTGCAGAGGAAACCAAACGTACCCAGGCTCTCGTCGTTGAAGTGGGGTGTGGGCAGCTCCAGGGTGAGGATATGGTCCAATGCCTACGCAAGGTGGATCCATGGGCATTGATCAATGCAAAAAACGTTGCCGCGTCAGTCAATTCTCTTGTCACAGTGTTCCATGGAGAGTGCCTGGATCAACAGTAAGCTAACAGTCTCCCAGTTTCCCAGTCTATTGATGGTAAATTGTTAACAAGCTCCCTCCTTCTTGACCCATCAGCACCCAAATTAAAACAACCTGCCATGATGGGCATCATGCACGACGACGGCTCGGCATTTACATGCTATCCAACAACCTCCAACCTCTCCACGATTATATCTTCTCAAGGCTACCCTACTTCCACCATTCTCGCCTCAAACGCCTTTCCCCTTCCAGATATGGCCAACAGCGCGCTTGCCATTTTCAACCTCACCTCAAGAGTAGCCACAGACGCCCAGTTGAGATGTTTAGGGCAAAGCACTGCCTACACCGGAGCCGCAAACCGCATCTTCGACAAAGTCTACACTTACGAATTCGACAGATCCTTCCAACTTAGATATTGGAGTCCCAATCCCCCAGCTTGCGAAGCTCCTATCACACCAGACCACCCGTTTGGCAACCCAAATCTACCGTGTAAGTTACCATACTCTCCAAGAGAAAAATTCGCTTCAGGTTTCAAAAAGGGGACACTCCAGCTCACCAATTCTCTAATGCAGACTACAAATGCTATTCCGGCGATCTAACCACTGTCTTCGGCACCGTTGTTCCACAAGGCAGACCTCTCCGCGACGACTACGACATTCCCTTTTCACAATTCGTCCTCGATTCCTGGACTGCCTTTGCGCGAACGGGGGATCCAAACCCCGATCCAGCCTTTTTAAAAGCTAGGGATTTCACGAATACTACTGTGATGCTAGAGGTGCAGGGAACTTGGGGTCCGGTTGATGTCGAGAATCCAATATTGAAGGTGTTGGATATAGGGAGAGAGGTGGTATGAGAGGTTTCAGGGAGGAGGCGCAGTGCGAGGCTTTGGGGTTGGGGTTGGATTATTACAATAAGTAGTCGTGTGGTTGGGGATTCAGAGCTGCGCAAACCTTTACATATCCTTCTTCTTCTTCTTCTTCTTCTTCTTCTTCTTCTTCTTCTTCTTCTTCTTCTTCTTCTTCTTCTTCTTCTTCTTCTTCTTCTTCTTCTTCTTCTTCTTCTTCTT